ACGGATTGTAAGGTAGCAAACATTGTTGGAAAACACGTTTTCAACACTGCAGGTTACCTGGTGTAATGCTTTTCAGCTAAAAAGAAACATGGTCTGACTCCTACCTAACTATATAAAGAGTAACTGAAGGTTAAACGCAGCTAACATGTCCTTTTTAAGTCAGGCACTTATACACCTCCACTCCGCTGCGTCTCAGCCACCATGCTCTGGCAGCAAGAGGCTAGAGCCAGAGTAGGGGAGAGGCGAGCTGGAACAAACCATTTTGGGAGGGGGGTTATCTATACTTTTGTTGTTACAATTTTATGTCTCAAACAAGTACAGTAGCCTACTGTATGCTTTTTATATTTTTAGTAGTGTGTCACACAAACAGCGAATATTGTCAAAAAAAAGAAAGAAATCTTTGGGGGTGCTTTGATTCATTTTGGGGGTGCTGAAGCGCCCCCAAAAATGTTGTGGTGATCCTCGAGTTGAGGGATGGGTGTTCATACTGGAGTGCAAAATTAAAACCAATGGAAGATGGACAAGAAAAGTTCAAAGCCATCAGGTGCTCAGTTTAGAAAAAATAGAAAAGAAGAAGAGAAACGAGCAAAAGATGCAGGTAAGCAGATGTGTGATTGGATAATGGCAGGTCATCCTGAAACAATCGGAATCAGAATACTTTATTAATCCCTAAGGAAATTATGTGGGTTACAGTTGCTGCAAGAAGAAATGGTAAAAATAGCAACAGTAACAGACTAAACTCCAAACAATACATTATGTTACAGATTTTAATATGACTTAGTCCTTGTCAGTTGTTGATTTGTCCTGTTCTCATTGTATGACGAATTATGATGGCTGTTTGGTGGCTATTTGCATACTATGCATACTCTCTCTCTCTTCACATGTGTGTGTGTGTGTACAACAGATTTATGTGGGTAAATGAAACAAAATTTGTCATCAGAGGATGAAAGATGAAGTGCTTTGGCAGTATTTTCTAAACCAGCGGTCCCCAACCTTTTTTGCGCCACGGACCGGTTTATGCCCAACAATATTTTCATGGACCGGCCTTTGAGGTGTCGCGGATAAATACAACAAAATAAAACTAGTACCGGTACCGAAAAAAAGAAAATTTATTCATAACACACGTGAAAAGACCCAGGAAAACCAAGTAAACGATGAAAACGATAACAAAATAACGCTGAAAACCGATAAAACCCCTGAAAACTATACATTTCACACCTGAGCCTCAACTCTCGCGGCCCGGTACCAAACGACTCACGCACCGGTACCGGTCCGAGGCCTGGGGGTTGGGGACCGCTGTTATGTATGTATGTATGTCAATTTTAATGAGATTTATAACAAGAAGAGGAGCGATTTGGCACCAAAAACAGGTTCTGTGCTTCGACAGCTGCAAATATTAATCTCAAAGAGGGTTAAAGGCCACATTTACCAGCAAGTTTACTTCAGCTGCCAGAAAGGTGTGAAAGAATGTGTTCTTTGACACTTCAGTAAATTACTTACAGCTCTTTCTGCTGCCTTCCCTCCAGAAATACATGATACTTTCAGATTTCAACATGTAAGCTAAATCAAACCCAGCCTGTCCCGTCTCAGGAACAGGAGCTGCAGCCCAGGAGTCTTGACTTTGCCTTTTTTTTAAATGTTAAATAAAGCCAGGTTGGCAGAGTACAAATTTGTTAAACTGGACACTTTAGAACAGGATCTCAAGAGCGACTGGGTTTCTAAATCTACCCGCAAGCTTGACTTGCTGTATCACCTTTGTTTACTTGTTATACCTAAAAAATGTTGAAGAGTTTAAATTTTTAGAGGTTACCTTAGGTTTCACCCTTACATTAAGAAATCAAGCCTAACACAAGTGGTGTTTCAAATAGATCCCACAGGTGTATCTGCTAAAAAATCTCAGCCTCAAGGTCAGGGGTCAGAAGTCAAGTTTTCTAAAAATCTTGTGGATATGATAACTCAAGAAGGAAGTTACCTAACATTTTGAAATCGATACCACATTACTAAAAATCTCCAACGAGTTCGAATCTCAGTGACCTTGAACTAAAGGTTAGAGGTTAGAGGTCAAGTAGTGATACCACAGGTGCATCTATTAGCAGGCTGTGCCACCGCCAGTATTTTAATTGTTGTATAATTCTGTATGTCTGATTAACACTTTGATACATTTTGCATAATTTTCCATTTGTCAGCATGTGTATCTGTTACGGTTTGGAGGAGGACTCAAGCGCAGGACTCCGGTTCTGATGCTCACAAGAAGGGTTTATTTACAAGTCACCAGGTGTATATACAAGAATGTGCGGGGGGGTGTTATATACAGCTGAGTGGGGGGAGAAGGGGTCTCCAGGGAAGTCCAAGGGAAAGCACGCGTTCTTCAGAATATCCACTCACATGATCACAGGCTCACACTCCGACACTGCCACACGGGAATCACACGGGGAAAAATCCAGGAAGCTCTGTAGACAGGGAGACGGGGTTAAGAACGACGCACAGAGGAAAACACTCTTAACTAAACTTGTTGTAGCTTGACTTCACTAACGCGTGGTAGCCAGCGATCCAGCGACGAACAGCAGTCACCTCCTGGCTTAAATGCTGCTCCAGGTGTCTCATCTCCCGAGGGCGTGGGCTGAGGATGTGAACCCACAGTGAGTTCTGCCCCGGCGAGAGAGAAGCGGAAGAGAGAGAGAGAAACAGAGAGGGCTGATCAGCGTGCAGCTGATCCGCCTGGCCGTGACAGTATCTGTAGGTATGCATGTATGTGTGTGTGCTTGCACATGCATGTAGGTGTGAGTCTTGGTGTGTCTCTGCTGATAGACTTTATAAATCCGTCTCTCTGGACAGCAAATGGAATTGAGCTAACAGCTGAATCAGATAAAGAGCATTGATCCCCTTGTGTGATTCATTAAACAGTTAAACTGAAAGATACTATTTTGCTTGGTTATCAGGAGGATATAATGTCGTTACTGTATTTCGTCCCTGTTATTTTAACTGTTAACATTTGCTGCCCTCAAAGCAGAGCCAATCCATATGTTGTTTACTGTTTATTTTTTCCTACTTCTAGGTGCTTTCTTAATTCCTTATGTCCTGTTCCTTGTGACCTGTGGCATACCTCTATTTGTGCTGGAGACGGCACTGGGCCAGTACACCAGTCAGGGGGGGATCATGTGCTGGAGGAAGGTCTGCCCCTTGTTTGAAGGTGAGCTAACCACTGGGATTGTGGTGAAGCAGATCAATGAAGAAAAACTGAGGGAATGCAATGTTAACAGTTATGTTGTTTCCAGGCATGGGATACACCAGCCAAATGATCATTTTCTATGGAAGTATCAGCTATATTGTGATTTTAGCCTGGGCTTTTCTCTACTTGTTCTCTTCCTTCTCTGGAGAGTTGCCATGGGCCACCTGCAATAACACCTGGAACACAAGTAAATTCAATTTTCTGTCCCACACATACATCAAAAAAATTACTGACTTAATTGGTAAATGAATTGGAAGTATGTAAAGATTGGATTGAAATGTTAATATGCAAATATTCACACAACTGTACATTTATGAAATACTAAAGCTAATGTTCACAATATTTAATGCAGTATTCACTTGTTGATGTGTCAGCAGAGCGTGTTTAACAAGATTTTGATACATTTCAGATCGTTGTGTAGAAATAAACAACTACAATACTACTGCCAACTGGACATCACCTGTGAATGCATCATCTTCTGTTTTAGAGTTTTGGCAGTAAGTCACAAATCAGAGATAATTTGTTAACAATCCTCAATATTGTTTTGAAATGTATGTAAATTCAGATATGTATATTACATGCATTACATGGCTGTTGGCATTAATGGTAATTAATGGTAATTTATCATGTAGTTTGGAGGGCTTCACATTCACTATATTAAGTAGACCTAGTTAGTACAAGGGTAGATCCATTTTTTTTTTTTGCCTTCAGAACTCCCTTAATTCTTTATACCATAGATTGAACAAGGTGCTGGAAACATTTCTCAAAATTTGCACCACATCCCAAAGGTGCTGTATTGAATTGAGATCTGTGTACTGTGGAGGCCAGAGGGGTACTCAATGTCATATTCAAGAAACTATTTTGAGGTAATTAGAGCTTTGTGACATGGTGCATTATCCTGCTGGAAGCAGCCATCAGAAAACGGGCACATTGCGATCATAAAGGGATGGACATGATCAGCAACAAAAGTCAGACAGGCTGCAGTATTTGAACATCGCTCAATTCATGTTGTTTACGTCAGTTCATGTTGTTTACCATCCGAATGTGTGAGCAAAAATCAAAGCTCATCAAATCAGGCAAAACTTTTCTAGTCTTCAGTTGACCGACTCTGGTGAACTTATTGGAACTATAGCCTCAGTTTCCTGTTTGTAGGTGTTTGGAGTGGCACCCAGTATGGTCTTCTGCTGCTCTCCATCTGCTTTCATGTTTGATGTATTTTGCATTCAGATATGGTCTTCTGCACACCTTGGTTATAACAACTAGTAATTAGGGTTACCAATTAGCGGTATTGGGGTATTGGCCTTGTTGATGACCTCTGGCATCAGCAAGCTAATGGTTTTCTTTGACCATTAGCTATAAACTGTGGATGGTGGCATAATCCCAGTAGATTAGCGGTTTCTAAAATACTCGAGCTACAACTGGCTTATCTGTAATCATGTTCAGAGTCATGTAATTCGCACTTCTTTCTCTTGTTGATGATCACTTTAAAGTTCAGCAGGTTGTTTTGACCACATCTAAGTGCATGAATGCACCGACTTGCTGCTATCCTGCTGGCTGATTAGATATTTACATTAATACAGTTGTACCTAATAAAGTGGCCAATGAGAGTAAGTGTCATTAATTATTGTTTTTCTCTGGCTTTAATTGCTATGATAAGAGACTATGATAACAGATCTTTTTTGCAAAACACTTATTTGCTACTATTTGATGAGTACTATAATAAGTATCATTTGATACTCATTATAGTATTCTGTGTATACTGACATATACTTTATAACACCAGTATAGTTTTTAAAGAATTTTACTTGACTTTTTAAAATGAGAAGTACAAATCTAGAGGAAATTATAGGTTAGGAGTAGTATGAAATGTCATGTGTCTGTTAAGCAGGGTTAAACTGTTATGACACATTTAGAATGTGTAGAACACCAAAACTAAATTAAAAATCTTACAGAAATATCCCACATTTTGATAAATGTTTAGTGTGAAGATGCTTTAGATACAAGTAGTAGGGTCTGTTACTTCTTTTGACATTTTGCTGTCAGTGTGTAGAGATCTACAAACTGTTAAACTGATGTCTCAGTCACTTTTTTGATGTTGCTCTGTTAGGGTGGAGCGTAGTTGCCCCTGGCATTAAACACTTAATTTGGCCATAATAACTGAAAACACCCATGTACTGAAGGTGTGAAGGGCTTTTAATTGCATGTTGAAGCTTGTGTCATTCTAAATAGTTTCATGCCGAACCCAGTGACTTGTCAATCTATATGTAAGTACTTAAGTAGTCCACTGTGTAAGTATGCTGACATCAGTTTTCTAGCCACACTCACTGAATCTTCATTTTTAAAGTCTTTGTGTATTAACTAGATTCAAAATTTTACAAAAAAGACCTTTCCATACACTGATAGTACGTCTTCTTTCAGGCGTCGGGTGTTGAATATATCCAGCGGCATAGAGAACTTGGGAACCATACAGTGGGACCTTTCTCTGTGCCATCTTCTAGCCTGGGTCATCTGCTACTTTTGTGTTTGGAAGGGAGTAAGATCCACGGGAAAGGTAACACTAAAAGGAAAAATGTTGAGTCGCATTTTATACCCTCAGCAGTTTTCAGCAGTTGTCACTGGCTTTCAGGTTCTTCAGGGAATCATTCAGATTCATTTCATGTTGCACAGTGTCTTTGTAGCTGTTGCCAATTTTATTGTGAAAATCTAATTTTCATTTATTTGGAGTTTTCTAGAGATAGACAGATGTTTTGCATACTTTCTAATCTGGATTTGTAAACTTTTAGGCACACCTGTTTCCTCAATTTCCCTTCACGACCTTTGTATATCCGTTAGTTGTCTAAGCATGAAATTACATCACCTACTGACATAAAATGCGGTTAAGTTGTTGTGTAGTGAGGTGAGATGATCAGTGGCTGCTGTTATAAAAATCCCAAATTGTTTCGGTACTGAGCTCAAATTACTTACTTGCTACTACTTGTTCTCAGAGTGATTAAGGTGTGGTGTGAAGAAAAATGAAATGATCAGAGCTCCCAGACGTCCACTGCTTTTTTCCCCCCTTCAGGCTGCGGCCATGGCAGTCGTTCAGTCTCACATTTGCACATGCCTGGCTTTCATACAGTGTATTCGAACCACACCACAACACATAACAGCCGAAGTTGGCACAAAAGAGGGTTGTGAAAGCAAGTTTTGCAACTGTTATGGAATATACAGCCTCCTTTTAATAAACAAAGGAAAATATAGCAATATTATATTCTTGTACTTCTTTATGTTATTTCTTGGTCCAATGTGTCGCACATGATTTAAATTCTGGTCATGGAAGTCGCAGTTAAATAAGAATGGTATTATGCATTTGGTGTTACCTCCAAAGACCAAATGCAAATATTCACACAACTGTGAATATTGTTCACAGTTGTGTGACTTGTTGAATAATATCTTGATGCTGACATTAACAGCATGGCCTCATCATAGCGTGTGGTCATAAACAAGTAATCCTTAATTTAAAACCTAATTTATTTTTTATATATATACAGGCTACATATTTCACAGCCACGTTCCCCTTTGTCCTGTTAATCATGCTGTTTGTCAGAGGAATGACCCTTCCTGGAGCCTTCCATGGTATCAAGTACTACTTGTATCCCAATCCTGAACGGCTCGCTGACCCACTGGTATGATTCAGCCTCATTTCTTAATCGTGTCAGACATTTCTGCAGCGGTGTTTATGAACTAATAACTTGGTTTACAGGTCTGGATGGATGCTGGAACACAAATATTTTATTCTTATGCCATATGTTTGGGATGCCTAACTACACTTGGGAGCTACAACAAGTACAACAATAACTGTTACAGGTGAGCTCCTCACGAAGATGTGACAAACATTTTAGTTTGTATGTCAGTGGCTGTCTCCAAATACTTTGCCACTAAATGTGTTTACAGCAGCTTTCTTACTTTCTGAAAGGCTTTAGCACTGGTCTAAGTAAATAACACATCAAGAAAACACATACTTGAAAATGATTTTGATTACAGCCCTTGTAATATGTGCATCCATTACCCCTTCTATTTTTATTAACCTTTAAGCACAGGTAGACATTCAGTCACCGTACAAAGCACTTTTCTATCTTACTAACCTCTTAAAGCACTTTAGACTACAGATCACATTTTAATCACACATTCATGTAGTGCTTTATTCCATGCACTTTATTATTTATGTATTCTATGGGCAGACTCCAGTAAAACCATACTGGATTACTGGCGACCGCAGTCCTTGTTTTTTGCTCTCAAGGAGATCCCTGAGAATCTGTAGCAGCTGTAGAACTGGTTTATAAACATCTGCACTGAACTCACTAAGGCTGCAAAGAAAAGCAATCTGTGCTGAGAAGCACCTTGTTAACTGAATTAGCACCTCAAGCACTACCGCAAACAGAATATTAACCAGTGGGTAACAATGAAAGTGTTTCCCACAGGCCATTATCTTTTTGTTGTCTTAAAAAAAATAGTGACATTATGCTTTCTTTCTGATTTGCAGAGACTCCTTTTATCTTTGTTTGTTGAACAGCGCGACCAGCTTCATGTCAGGCTTTGCCATTTTCTCAGTTCTGGGTTACATGTCGCAAAAGCAGGGTGTCGACATTGCTACAGTCGCTGAGTCAGGTACGGATGTCAGTCTGAAAAGTATTTGAGTCTGGCTTTTTTTTTTACCTCATCCATTATGCAAAAAATAAAGACAGATTAACATGAAAGCTTGTGATTTAGTTTCAAAGTTGATCCAAGTACAACTCTGGATACAAGAATTTTTAAAAGAGCTTCTTTAACACTGCAAGCAGATTAGTTCTTTCACACAACACATGCATCAAATTGAAAAAAGAGGAAAATTTCATCTAAATGTTCTCAAGATGATATCATGAACTCAGCTGGATCCAGCAGCTCAGTTCATGGAAGCAGTTTTCAGCCTTGGTCGAGGTGTATGAGCCCGAACTGCTCTTATTTTTCATTTTTATAGTTAGGATTTTTAGACTTAAATTTTAAAATTATCCACAAGCATACAGGATCAGCTCTGGCACTACTGACTTTGACACTATAAGGCATGATGCTGGGGAATTTTCACAAGCATGGAATGATTGTCCCTTATTTCCCAAAACTTGGAGCAGCTTGTGCTTGTAATGCTGAAACGTCTGTACTCCATGCTGTGTAGTGTGTGCTCAACTACTGCCAACCAAAATTGAGTAAGAATGCCACCCAGGGTTTCTGTAGTCAATAACAACCCCAACACATGAATGCAGCACACATTTTATTATCAGATGGTCTGTCAGTCAATATCATAGAGCAATATTTGTATTTTTGGCCATCAGGCTGTTCTATTTAGCAGTAGCAATAATTAGTTATTGTTAATATTTCTTCCCTCACACCCAACTGGTCACAGCAGATAGCCGCCCCTCCCTTGAGTCTGCTTCTGCCGAAAGTTTCTTATCATAAAAAGGACGTTTTTCCTTCCCACTGTTGCCAAAGCACTTGCTCATAGAGGGTCAAATGATCGTTGTAGTTTTTTTCCTTTTTTCTCTGTATTATTGTTGAGTCTTTACTTTAAAATATTAAGTGCCTTAAGGAGACTGTTGGAAACATAAACCTAATGCATCTATCTTTCCCGGCTGTTGTTTTGAACTACTATGTACAAAAAAACACTACTATTATGGAAAATGTTGTTTTCCATTAACTACAACCTGCTTTCTGGAGGCATCCCTCAAGGGACTATGCATGCCTTTTCTATCTACATAAAGTACACCGTCTTTCAAGGTTTTACATTTCAGTAAATTTAAAAAAGGCAGAAGCAGTGTATGAAAAACTAAGTGGACTGAATGTTTTATTAGCTTGTGGAACCATCTTTAGCAGGAATAACTGAAGCAGTTGTTTTCTGCATTACTTTATCGGTTTCTCGCACCATTCTGGAGGAATCGTAGCGCTCTCTGCTTCTTAAAACATAGCTTCTCTTCACTGAGGTTTACGGACATTCATTTATTCGCAGCTCTCTTAAGGTAGCCCCACAGCATTTCTGACTTCTTAATTTCAGCTTGAATTTAGGCCTATTTAAATGTATATAAGAAATCAGCACCTTACTGGTAATTCATTTTCTATTCCTACCGTTTAACATGTTTCAGATTTATTTGATCCAATCTGCATTTCCTTAACAATTGTACAACTCCGTAATGATCATAAAGTTGTCATTTAGAGACACTTTGGCATCTGTTTCACTTTGTAGGTCCAGGCCTTGTTTTCATAGTCTACCCACAAGCTGTGACCCTGCTGCCTTGGCCTCAGGTGTGGTCTGTGTGCTTCTTTGCCATGATCATCTTGTTAGGAATAGATGGTCAGGTGAGTTGCAGTTTTTTTTATATCTCCTAAGAAAATGTAATGCAGTATTGTTTTTTTTCCTCTTCTGGTTAACTTACCTCGACACTAACCTGTCTTTGTGTAATTCTCAAGTTTGCAGGTCTTGAAAGCATCATGACCTCTTTGACAGATGTCTTCCCCTCCCATTTAAGGAAAGGATATCACAGAGAGCTTTATCTGATGCTGATCTGTGCGCTTTGCTATCTGTTTGGCCTGTTATTGGTGTCACAGGTGAGATGTTTAAAAACAACATAATTATTATAACTTTCATGCCTGAAATTCATTTCATAAAAGTTGGAACAGTGGCAATGCAAGACCGGAAAAATGTAGTGCTACAAAAAAATGATGGTTGTGTAAATCTGAATATTTAATGGCACCTGCTTTTATGTGGATCTTGTTCAGTGTTTTTGTAAATGCCCCAGGCTTGGTGGGCTTGGTATCATGGGTATAACAAAATGGAAATCAAAACAAGGGAAGCACAAAAATCACATGTCTGCATGTGCTCAGGGGAGTCTGGGTGTCCTGCGAGGACACTTCAGGTGTATGTGGTAGTGGGCCCGTTGCTGTGGACTTTTAGTTCCTTCACAACAATAGTGAAACCACGCTTTGAATTAATAGCAATGTCAGGTTTGGTGGGTGTTGAATTCCCTTTGTTTCTGATTCTGTTCAAAATTCTTATTAATACATTTGTGTGAGACATAATGGACTCATGATCACAACCTTGCTTTTTGTGTATGATGTGGTCCTTCAGGCTTCATCAAGTGGCAGTTTGCTGGCAAATGGGGAGCAGCAATGATGAGAATTACCACCTTGAAGTCTGATTGGATTGGAATGCCTGCTCCAAGTTGGTTGGCATTGCTGCCACATGTAGAAAAGTTCAAGTACCTCAGGGTCTTGAGTGGGGAGAGTGGTAGGAACAGTGACAGGGATGTTCATAGCCTCACTTATAACCATGAGCTATGGGTTGTGGTCAAAAGGACAAGATTGGAAATAATTAGCAAAAATGGATGTACGTTGAAGGGCATCTGGGACTTAGGCTTACAGTTACAGAGCAGTTTGGTCAATTTGTAGGCAAGGTGTTTTTAGAAGGGTTAGGAAGGATGGCCCAGGCAGGACACAACAGAGTGATGGGGGTGTGGGAATCTCATCAACCCAGACCTGAGTGGAGAAGCGGCTGTCTTTCAAAACTGCAGCAAATGGTTTCTTCAGTTCACAAAGAGCATATTAACCTAATTAACCTAATTTATTGGTAAACATGCCCCTGTCTGGAGATTTATGAAATTTGTTGATGAGATTTTGTCCTAATGCTTCTTTTAGTAGGCTATAATATAGAGTTCACTTTGCTTTCTAAGTTTGTAGGATATCAAAGTTGTTGATATACTAGATAATAAGTGTGAATAGGTTCAAGATTAACATGATGAATGTTTTAATTTTAGGCTGGTGCATACATTCTGCAGATCTTCGATCACTATGTTTGCAGTGGTCCTACTCTGCTGCTGATGGCAATTTTCCAGTCAGTTACGATTGGATGGATTTATGGTAAGACAAAATTATTATTGTTATAAAAGTCTTTGGTTTTTATGTCTTTTTATAGTGACGTCCTAATAGCCGTCCACTATTATTACCAAAATATATCTTGTAATTCTCTATACATGCTGTATATACATACACCTGTAGGGCTGGATTTACAGCACAAAGCATTTTTGGTCATTTAAAAGCAACTGTCAGGACCTGCTAAAGAGGCACAGTATCAACTGAAAGATGGGGATGCAGGTTTTTTTGCTATTGAACTTATTGCATCTTATCGTATCTGCAGAAATCTTGAAATGTACTGAATTTAATGCAGACAAAAGCAGGTCTGTTTTCATACCTGGTGCAGTGTTTTTTGGAAGATATTTGCGACATGTTATTATTTGCATAATCAGCACGAGTGGATAGCTGAATGGTGTGAGTCCCCAAGCCCCCCACACCCAGCCCTGTATCTTTTTTTCTTATATTCATCTTTCAAGGAGTCAGATTATCTTATTATATTTTTTAAGTTGTCTTGAATAATACTCCAGGCTTTCTGAAGGTATTTCAAGGTTTTTCTTTGGACGTTGGCTGTTTTCACTTATTGTCAGTCCAGTTCTTGTACCGGCCCATTTTCAGAGGAATGTTTTATTTTGTTTGTTAAACACATAACTCAAGGGATGAACTAGTGTTGTGTCTACAAATAAAATACAAGCAAATAACTGATTTTATATTGTATCTTCAGGCAAAAACATAATTTATTCCCTTTTCTTTGGTTGATTTTATGACAAAATAGCATATAGTATTTTTGTACCAACAAGGTGATTCTCAAAGACCTATTAGCTGAAAACCTGGCATATATTAGCATGGTATGCAGTGTGTCCTTAAAATAATTTGAGGAACCTGAACAATTGACAAAGACCTCCTCCTTAAATGGACGCTGAGAGTTTACAGCCCATATTCACTGTATAACTGTCATTTGAAAAAGCGGTCATTGTAAAAACCTTAAAAATATAATTTTGTTGTGGGGAAATATTAAAAGTTAAACACAAGTTTCTTTCTAGTAAACTGTCTCTGTTCTAGGTGCCGATCGCTTCTACACCAACATTGAGGACATGATTGGATACAGACCTCTGTCACTGATCAAGTACTGCTGGCTCTATGCCACCCCTCTCATTTGCAGTGTAAGTTTCTAAAGCAGCTTCTGTAAACAGTTTATCAATATGCTCTATTCTCATAAGATAAGATGAGATAAGCTTTATTAGTCCCACACATGGGAAATTCATCCCATAATGTTTATTATTTATATGTTTTCTTTTGAAGGGAACACTTATATTTTTGCTCCTGAGGTACACCCCTCTGAAGTTCAACAACACATACGTGTATCCTTGGTGGGCTTACTGCATTGGCTGGTTCCTCGCGCTGTCGTCACTTTCTATGGTCCCAGTCACTATGATCTACAAACTGGCCAAAGGAAGAGGGAGTCTCTGGCAGGTCAGTGATGTTGTTAGTGTTGGCTGTTAGTGATAATAACTGATAATAACTGATAATAACTGACAATATTAATTCCTTTACCAAGCGTCTGAAGACCAGCTCCCAGCCTGCAAGTGATCTTCGAGGAATGGAAAGCGAAATGATAAATGTCCATGATTCACTACGTGCCCCAAAATAACTGTTCAGCCTTATTCACTGAAATGCAAATCTTTAAATGTACCTTTTAATTTGCGTTTTAAATAATACTTAAGGTGTGGGTCCTCTATTATGCACATATATGGTGGCTGGTATTAATATTTTTTATAAGGTGAAAGGGTCTATCTGAAGCACGAAATGTCTGAATATCTGTTAGAGGCTGAATGTATAAAATACTACACTGATATGGAGCCTCTGATATGACTTTAATTTGCATTTCAAATACCTCAAACCCTAACAATAACATTTTTACTTGACTTTTTACTTTAAACTCACTACGAACACACAGACGTTGAGATTGAAAATAAACTTACAATTATTATTTATAGACCAACACAGTGAATAGAGATTTTAAAACTAGTGCTGTCGGCGTTAAATCTTGTTAGAATGACGTTAACACCATAACCGCATTAACGCAGCAAAAATTTCCGTTAACGCGGATCGCCATGGCGACAACGCGCCGTGCAGCCCCTCGCACCGTGACAAGTTTTTTTTTTCTTTTTTAGAAACATAAAAGCAAGGTCTTTTAGTGTTTAAAAGTATTGAGCTGAAAACACATATTCACAGTTTAACACGTTTTTATGATGATCACTTTTTTAATGATTTCCTACATTACATCAACTGCTACTTCTGTTGTGTTTTTGTGATGTTTCATGGAAATCTGGGTTATTTTAATACAACGTTTTTATATATTCATACAAATTGAAAAGTAAAAGGCTGTTTTTCTGTTCCTCTCTCAGTCAGAACCTGTTTTAAAAATTATATCTATCATCATTCTGGCATTAAGTTCTAAATACTTAAATAACATGGGGACCTGCGTAGAAACACCTTCATAACATTTAAAATGAAAAAGATTAGCTTCACTAAGCTTGTAGCTTTATTTTGGTTACAGCTACAACATACAAGATACAAAATGCTTTATAACATACGCATGAAAAATAAAAACTTACATTTCATAGAACAAAGGTCAACATTGCTACATGCTGACATGCTAAGTAATGCCAAAAAGGTTCAGGTTCAGTGTTCTGAACCTTTTTTATGTTTATATTCCTAGTTTTTTGGCTGAAATACACTGAATGTAAGCAACAGAGGTCAGTTTTGTTTTTGTTTTTTTACTTCAGACTCCTTTAGTGCCCCCTCCTTTTTTAATTACCTGGAACTGAGGAGTAACTATGAAATTGTGTCCTTTGGAAAGATTTCTCCTTGATGTTTTCTGGTATGTGTTTCATGTTGCTTGTGCTACACACACATATCAGGAAACACTAGGCCTAATGATCCGTATGTATTTTAAGCATTCAGAGTATATTTCATGATATTCTTTTTTTTATCAACATGTATAATAAACCAAATAAATATTGCTCTTCAAGTCTGTCAAAAAGTGGTTAATGTTTGCTCCTTACATTTATAACTGAACTCCTACTTTTACTTTAAGGTGCATTGTATTTTCTTGGATTATTGTATTGGTTACAAGACTTTTTAAATGTGTCTTGATATTTGACCTTGAATTTGTATAATAAAATACTTTGGGGAATAATTTAGCTTTCACTGTGAAAGCTTTTCTGTAATTTAAGTGAATGTGTTGAGAGAGTGTGACAGATACAGACTCTATGGTGCAGGCCAATCCATGACTGATCAGTTTCCATTGTGTCTTTGGAGCACTGACAGATCGTTTGGGCTTGTTGTCATGCTAGAAAATAAAACTGTTGCCAATCACATGCTTTCTAGATGGCATTGCATGGTGGATGACAATCTGATGGCACCTTTCTGTGTTCATAATTACATTAATTTGAAAAAATCCCAAACAACTGGCTGAAATTCAGCTCCTCCAACATGTTTTACAGATGTTTGTAGACACTCGTTGTGTCTCTCCGGAGCTTTCATTTTACAGATATGCAGTAATCAATATTTGATTGATGCTGCTCGTCATTTAATTGCCCTCGTGGTTTTATTTTTGTTCCTTGCGGAGTTAAAACTTATAACCAATACACATTGTAATAATCAATTTGGCTTTAAAACGTAATTTGTTTTGATAGTGATAACTAAGTAGGAATGTCTAACAGTTTGGTGGGTTAATATTGTCTACAGGTTATTTGCACAGCTGAAGAAAACACATTTTACTTACATTAAAAAGATATTTATTTAAAAAAAGCAACCAAACAAACAAAAGTTTCATTTAACTGGATACATTTGCTCTGAGAATTTTGATATCATCAGCTGGACGATCTTGGCTGTTTGTCTCCACCATCCCAATCCGGTTCAGCACTCCCATCCCTTGACACACTCTTCCAAAAATACTGTGCTTTCCATCTAACCACTGAGTGGGTGCGAGGGTGAGGAAGAACTGACTGCCATTGGTGTCCGGCCCCGCGTTGGCCATCGCTAGAATACCAGCACCTAACAGGCACAGAGACATAATGAGAAATTATAAATGTCCTCACTATCAGTTATCACACAGGTATTTATCGGGATCACTGGACTCAGTTTATTCAGCTGTGAACTAAGGAAATGTTTCAAAAACACCAGAAACCTTTACAAGTTATTGGTACACATGAACTCTACTGAAGATTTGAATCTAAAAATAAAGCGTCCATATGTGAACATGTGCATACAAATACCAGATTAAGACATCAGTACTGACACACACAAATGATTTGAAGGATTTGCTCAAGAGCCTGTCTTTATAAGCCTATAAAAGCTTCTTCTACGTGCATTACCTGTGAATTTTAGTTCTGGGCGTAGTTCATCCTCAAACTGTTTGCCAAAAATGGAGGCACCACCTCGACCTGTTTGGAAAACAAACATTACAACTGGCGCATTGGATGAGTTTTCTGAAGACCATGAACATGTGAAATTAATCAGACAGTAGTGACAGGGCCACTTTATTAGGTATACATATAACTACTCATTAATCTAAAAACCTAATCACATAGCAGTAACTGTAGGCGTGTTCAAGACGACAATAAAGTTTAAACTGAGCATCAGAATGCAGAAGAAAGGTGATTTAAGTGACTTTGAACTTAGCAGGAGTACTTCAAAATTGCTGATCACGCAACTATCTACAGGGTTTACAGTCTGTAAAAGAGAAAATTCTCTGGGCAAAAATGCCTCGTTGATGCCAGAGGTCAGATAAGAACGGACAGACCTCTTTAAGTGATATGAAGCCAACAGTAATTCAAATAACAACAACCAAGGTATGCAGAACACAGCGTATTGAAGCGTGAAGCAGACGGGATACAGCAGATCACACTGCGCGCCACTCCTGTTAGTTAAAAACATGAAACTGAGGCTACAATTCACACAGCTGGTGTTAAAGGTGTGGGAGATATTTTGTTGGCACACGTTGGGCCCCTTAGTACCAGGTGAACATCTTTCAACAGTCAAAGCCTGCCTGACTATTATTGCTGACCATGCCCATCGCTTTATAGCCACAGTGTTACCCATATTCTGATGGCTGCTTCCAGTAGGATAATGCACCTTATCACAAAACTCAGATAGTCTGAAATTGGTTTGATTTACATTACAACGAGATCGCTGTGCTCAAATACAGCACCTTGTTATACAATATTTGAAATTAACAAAACAAACACACACACGCACCCCCCCCCACTATATTTTCAGAAATATTTGTGGGTTTTTCTTGTTTTGTTTTTTTTTTGTACTACTTCAACACTAAAGTGGCCCTCACATGAGATGACCGTGCCTGCAGTGGCCCACAGTTCATTCAAGTTTGAGACCCCTGAAATACAGCATCATTGATGAAAGTTGAGCTTCAATAGTAGATGTCCAGCGGACAAAGCTGAATGTTTCCAACATCTTGTTCAACGTGTACCATGAAGAATTAAGGCAGTTCTTTAGGCAAAAGGGGCTCCAACGAAGTATTAGCAAGGTGTGCCTAATAAAGTGGCTGATTAGTATGTATAAAAGAGGATTCAATATTAAGAAAATTACATATTTTTCTTGGAAAAATACAGACATGCTTTTGATGGCAAAGAAAAAGAACAACTGTAAAATATACAGTATTATAAGCATCTGTAAATATTATTTGCATATGCAAACACACCGTTTAATGAAGTTCTGTATTAACAAACAAAGCATCTGGTCATGTTAATCACCTGAACACTGGATCTATATTAAGAGTTCTGACTGATTATAAAACTACGAGCATTAATATGCTGCTTCAACAGCCCTCATGATTCCATATAAGAATTTTGGAACCTGGCTGGTTTACAGCCAAATGAGCGGGAATGTAATATTGGGCAGCATCAACACCAAAACTTCATTTATGGAGTTTGCTTTGTGCACAGTCATAAAACAGTCATGTCAGTGTATTAGGGGAGGGGAAAAAAACACAACACATTGTAAATTGGAATAATACGAAAGACATCTACATTTACTTAGCTTCATGTTAAAGTGACTGACATGTTTAGTAATCTAGACACCCTTAAGTAGCATTTAGCCTACTCAAATCATGAACCTGTTACCCTAACATGTGGACAGTGGTATTCAAACACTTATCTGTGACGAACCCACCTGTTCCTGTGGGATCTCCTCCCTGCACCATGAAGTCTTTGATGATCCGGTGAAACTTGGTGTTGTTGTAGTAGCCTCTTCTGGACAGCTCTGCGAAGTTCTTGCAGGTCTTTGGTGCATGGTTCCAGTACAGCTCCACCACAACAGTCCCCATCCTGCAACGCACGGCCAGTTAGCATGTCTTTAGCGGCTCTGAATAACAAAGGCTGTCTCTTAAACTAGTTTTTAGCGGAAACGTGCTATGCTTCATGCGGTTTGTTAAAAAGATTGTGAAAAAATAAAATATGCAAAATTTATTAACGCAACAGACACCAACACTTCAGGTTCCTCAAAGCTAGCTGAGTTAGCATCCAGTGTTTCATTGGGGACTTACGTCGTCTCCAAAGCCACTGTGGGAGGCTGCCATGTGTCCGGAGGAATCCCCGACATTATCACCTCAAACCGTAAGCTACAACAGTTGTGAAAAAATGTTTAGTTAAACTTAAGTTCTAATAAGTAGCCAGGAATTTCTTAGCCCAGCGAATTCATTCAACACATTTCAAAAGGAGTTTCTTCTTCTGTGGTTTGCCGAGCATTTCCTTTGAATGTTAGAGAAAGGCTGCCATCTGCTGGACGTACTAAATGATACCACCCCTTTTTTTATTGTGTTGCTTACGTTTAGCATTCTTTACCAGCATCAGCTTCTGAGAAGTTCAGATTAACAGACGACTTTTTAACAGTGTTGTTACTAAGAATAAACTGAAAAACTACATTACAAACCACATTTCACTGTCATTTACGCTTTACTTTGTAAGAAAGAAAAATGACCCTGTCTTAAAGTTTGGTTATCTGGAAATATATTTTGTCTTGATAATGTAGTTAAAGAGATTTCTAAATATGTATGATATAGTAAATACATTTAACAAAAGAAATTCATATTATTATCATCCCCTGTAGTAGTAATAATAGCAGCAGTAGTTTATGTCATTACTAATAAAGTGCTTCCAAGGTGCAGTAACACATGTATCTTATGCAACTGAAGGATCCCTGGTAAGATTGTAAGAAGAGACGCAGAGCCAGCCTCAGGGGGTGCTGATCCAACCGAGCCTGAAAAGGGAAAAGAACAAAGACATCACTTAAAAACTGGGGGAGAGGGTGTGTGTGTGTGTGTGTGTGTGTGTGTGTGTGTGTGTGTGTGTGTGTGTGTGTGTGTGTGTGTGTGTGTGTGTGTGTGTGTGTGTCCATTGCTCTGCTTGGAGTATTGCTACGTAGTATCTTAACTGGACAGAGACCTCTGATGTTGCGCCTGGAATCTGCTGGACCCACTCTCCTAGTTTACAGCTTACAGCTCCTAATGCTAAATAAGCAGCTGGAAAATGTAGTGGCAACATGAGAAGTGAGCTGCAGGTGCTAGACAGACGTCACGTCTGTCTAGCACAGCATGCCTACAGCAAGTCTACACTGTTCAGCTACAGCATAAGCTGCTTACATATGAATCCCAGATTTTTGTTTAATGACTTCAGTGGAAGCTGAAAAGATTTTATTTGTCGTATATGTCATATTAATTTAACTTAAATGTCTTGATAGATAAAAATTACCAAATTACATCATTGTCCAAAAATTATACTGAGATTACTCTGCATTTGTAGTTATCACTTGTTTCACTATTAAAATGTTGTCTTTTAAACTCAGATTTGATCCCATCATCTCTCCCGTTTAAGCTTTTTAAGCTTTATGGAGGTGAGAGGACAGACACATGGACAGACGTGTGGACAGTCTGTCCTGCCTCTTTTCTGAAGAAATCTCTGCCTCTGAATCAACATCTTATGTCCTTCGGTGCATTTTTATTTCTGGAAGTATTCTTAAAAGCATTGTAATACATGTTCTGGTTCATGATGTCAAAGCAGGATTTGAATTGAAGGTCTTCCTTAACCAGCTTTGAGTTTACTCTCCCATTCATCCCAGGCTTGTTGATGATGGTCACTGGGTGATTCTAGCACCCCTTGTTGACCCTGTCTAAAACTGCTCCTCAACAGGAGAAAATACAAAATAATCATAAAAGTTAGGCTGCCTGCTCCACCAGGAAGGTCAAGAACACAAACAAAGGGAGAAAAGTTACTACTTGCACAGAGAAATGTCAACATAGCACCATAATTCATGAATCGTGGTTGGGTTTCAAACAAGCTTCATTGGCCTTCTTCCCACCGTTCATTTGATACTGGACTGCCCAGTTCTTCCACCCAAGCCTCTCTGTGATGACTGGTATTTACTGGCACCATAAAAGCAGTGCTAAAGAGCAAGAGATCAAATACTTCGAATGTGGCTGTGAGAGAAGTTGTCATGGTATCTGCTTGCCCATCTTTTCCATCTGTTTCCCCCCTTCCATGGCTCTCTCTCTCTCTGCCTCCTCTATCTCTCATTAATTTCCTGTGTTCCCTAGAGGTGTCACTACCTGCAGGTTTCCCCTGGTTCCCTGGCTGGCACATCTGATTGTAACTCACTGTTCACTCACTTGGACTATTTAAGGATGAACTCTTTTACTCGCTCTCCATCAGATCTTTTGTCAATTGGAGTATCGTTCAGGCTCTCTAGTGTAGCTAGCTTTGCTTTCCATGTGACTTACCCTTTATCTCGATGTGCTTCTTGTGAATCAGAGAACATGTCCAGTCTGGTTTACATATCTAACTGCTCTACAACAGTGTCATTCAAAGATATTCCCTTTGCCTGTGAAACATCCACAGCACATTCTCTGTGTCTCCTGCTTTAGAGGTCGCCAGAGCTATAAAACCTCTCCAGAAGTAAATGGTGACAGGTAGGATATACTGACTTGAAGGAAGTAAAGAAAATGGGGCAAAGGAAAGTGGTATCTAATGTGGGACTGATGGAAAGAGGTAAACTTATTATCAATGTACCGATATCCAATACAGGAAAATATTTATCTCCAGTTCAGAAACAATTATTGCTGGTATGAATATGTCAAGTATATTATAGGGTGTTATCCTGGCACTTCAGTACACCCTTCACATAGCTTTTTTTCAGTAGTAAAAGGCCTTTACTGACCAAGTCAAGGCCTGTGCACACTGTCAAACATCACCTTGGAGTAAGTGAAACCCTTATAAAGGAGTAAGCTCCACTGCTTTACTTCCTCCAGTCAACTGGCCCACTTTACTTAAAAATACTCTCAGTGCATCTTGTGTTTGCTTCTCATGTCTGGCCATTGTTCCCTGTGTGTCTTCTCCTTCCCATCTTTAAAGTCTCTCCAAAGAAACAGTTCTCACAACTGGACGTCTTTGGACCCACAACATCCTTCAGTGTTAATGCTATTGGCTCCTTCAAGTTATGCCAGTTTTCGTCAGTGGTCACAAATATCTATTAGCTCTCAAACTTATTACCTCCACTGAAGTAGTCATGTGATTGGTTCACTTTGTCTGCTTGCTTGTTTCTTGGTTTGTTAGTTACAAAGGATTGCTGAAAAAAGTTATGGACCGATTTGTAATAAAAATTTTACCTGAGTTTCAATTAATCAGAAAGATTAACTTTTGGAATCGACCCAGATATGTGAACATATCATATTTGTGAACAGATATGTTCACAAATATGTACAGAAAAGATTTTTTTTAAAGGTTTGGCAGCAAGAACTCCAATCAAGCTTTTACATGACTGCGAAGGAATATTGACCCACTCTTCTCCTTTTGAGCATGAACAGTCCCGTTTAAGGTCCAGACGATGCATCTCACCCTGATTTAAGTAAAGAATTTGACTAAGACATTCCAAAATATTCATTTTTTTAAGGCATTCACATGTGGGCTTGCATAGCCAAACTGCACTTGAGCTTCAGGGGATGAATTGATAGACATTCTCTTTCAAGATTTTCTGGTAGAAAGGAAAATTCAACAAGTTCAGTCGTGAAATTTCCTCATTACTCAATATTCTACAATCAGCTGTTAGTGGTATTATAACAAAGTGGGACAAGAGGGAATGTCTCTGCACTCTAGAGCAGTGGAGATGTGGTCTCTGGAGTGACGAATCACACGTCTCCATCTGGCAGTTGACCACCCCAGAGCCTGGACTTCAACAATATTGAAGCAGCGTGGGATCATGTTGACAGATAACAGAACAAAAGGCAGCCAACATTCAAAGAAGAGCTTTGAATGTCTTTCAAGAAGCCCGGAGAACTATTCCTAAAGACTACTTAAAGAAATTATAAGAAGGTCTGCCTAAGAGAATTCAGACCGTGTTGAAGAATAAAGCTGAAAATATTGATTTTCAAGCTCAAACCCTGTTTTTGCCTCACATGTTCGCATGTTTTAATTAACTGCTACACCTATTACCAATGCCCTAGCAAAACATAAAGAGATGACGAGCAGCTCAAGACTTTTGCACCACACTGTACTTGTTTTTCATATGAAAAACAAGTACAGTATTTTTGATTTCTATTTGATTAGATTAGATTAGATTAGATAGAACTTTATTAATCCCTCGGGTGGGTTCCTCTGGGAAATTCGATTTCCAAAAAAGCACAGCACCGACAGAAGTTACAGAGTTACAGAATATTATATATATATATATATATATATATACACACACACACACACACACATATATATAAATACAGAGACAATATAAATAAAATATACGAAGGGGATAAATAGAATAAATAGGAATAAAAAATAACAAATAAAAAATAAAAAATAAAATATTGTTAATATTAAGAGTTCTAATTGTTCTTTTTGTTAACTAAGCATTAACTACGCATCAAATCTCAAAACAACAGTCACCTTGAGGTGACTGTTGTTTTCATTTAGCGCTATATAAATACAATTGAATTGAACTGAATTTAAATTATGCATGCAGGATTTTTATTTGTAAAGGAATATTTTAACTTTGTGGTATCAAAACTTAATTTTATTTTCTGAATACTTGTTTCACTGCTTAATCAAAGAGAATTTGCCAAAAGGAGCAAAGCACTTGTGGGAAAGCTGAAGAGCCAACACTGGCAGCGAAGGAGGAAAGTATTAGTCTCCACTCAGAGAGAGGTATCAAAGATCCTGAGGTGCCCCCTGCTGTGACTTTGAAATAGTGAGATGCTCATAAATAGTCCTTGATGAGAAGAAATGATGGAAATGAATACGAGTAATTTAGTTACTAGATACTTGGAGGCAACATAATACTAGGACAAGTTAGGAGGGAAGTAGAAGAAAACATAGATATAAAGTGATACATGAAATAGAAAACATTAACAGCTGAAAAATCAAAGTCATATTTCCTAAGCATAGACAATTTAGTTTATCCAAAAAGTTAAAAGTAAATAAAAGGTTTTTTATTTTTGTTGTGTTTGCTCAGCATGTGTCACAGTAAGAAGAACAGGAACCTTTTAACATTAACCTCATCAAAATCAACTCCTGCAGATATGGTGACAAATGGTTGAGTTTAACTTTATTATCACAATAGAATACATAACCATCAATTAATCTGAAATTGAGAAAACCAGTCCTGTTAAAGATACCACATCACTAAAGTTTATTGCACCAGGTCTGCTACCTGTTGCAGAAACTGCAAAAGGACATCATCAAAATAGAGCCAAATGCAAAAAGTGCTGTGCATCCTGAGCACAAACACACTGTGAGGAATAACAGCTACACCATTAAAGTTCACCAACCTACCTGAGTGAGTGAGCTTATACAGACACTCACATGTAGAAAGAAAATTTACCCCCAAGTGAAATATTACTTCTACAAATCCTTACTAAAGATTGATTTCTCTACATAGAACAAGAACTTATGTTCCTCACAACTTTCTACACGCCTGTGTACCATTTGGATTCAACTGTGCACTGGAAACTTTTCTAGCACATAATTATGGGCACATATTCTGATGTGAGAGTGATGTTTAGAGTGTTTATAAATAATGTGAGCTCAAGGTTCACTTTATCAAGAATGAGCAGAAATGTGTCAGGCAGCCAGGAGAACCCTGAGAACAACTCTGAATGACTGTGTAAAGATGCTCTGCTACCTAGTTTTGAAGTTAATTTTCTTACTGGACATATTTCTGTTTCTATGTCAGCTCATCTATCCAGATGAGGCTAAAGCAACTCTCTCCAGATTCAGATAAGAAAGACTACACTGAGACTATAGAAACGTCATCTTAAAGGGCATTGTGGGTCATTTAGTGGGCAAAACCTGAGGCCTGCTTTAAAAATATATATTTTACATGACATGCTTACTGACCAGTGTGAAGCTGAATCCCACTAAGGTTGCTTCTACCCACTTGCAAGGAAGGTGGTTACCATCTTCAAAGCTTTTGTCACATATGGTCACGTGAAAATAAAGTTTTCACCAGACTTTATGTAGCCCTGTGAAAAAGTGAGTGTGTCTTTACTGCTTGCACAGGAAATAAGATGCTAATTACTTAATTACAAACTGCACATCTGGAAAGGCACAGAGCTGAAAGGTCTATACATTATTTAGAGCAACTTATGCTCCCCTCAACGATCTTTTTTGAAGTCGGCCTTGCATATTTCTTTAAGACAATGCTAAACCGCACGCTGCAGTGTGTACACTACAGTATAGCTTCACAGTAGAAGAGTCCCAAATTTCCCTCTAAAAATAAACAAAATATCTATAAGTCTTCATTATTAAGAAGACAACATGGTGCTTAGGCATTTAGTTGAACTTCTTCTGATGGAACAAAATGTACACCGCACAGCACACAGAAAATGGCATCTAATGAGGCTTTAGAAATTCTTGGCCTCCTGGCAAAGACTCTCTTGGGGGCTTCAGTATTAAGTATTGGAAATTCCCTGCATGATCCTTGTTTTATTACACAAAACTGTAATAATGTATAACAATATACATAAATGCAAGAAGACTGAGAGGAGGCTAATCTCTGTTTTTAACTTGGTTAAACTATCACTATTACTGTAGTTGTTAGTCATTTATAGGTGGTTTGAGACAGTGAACCCTGCTTTCTAAGCCTTCAATACCATGCTCAAAAGGAGATTAGTCACACGTGCTTCTCTCTCCTGTTTGTCGGCTATATGCTGGGAAATTACTTTTGGGTATAAATCTAGAGGTCCCCCTTGTGGCCGTGCAGGTCATCAATTAGATAAGCATTAGGTAACCCAATACAAATCTACATCAGACAGTCCCCAGCCAGTCAATCCAGACACTCAAGAGTCTTTGCCAGTACTACCATTAGACCACTTGCTCAGCAGTATGGCAGACTCTCTGTGCAGGCTGTTTCATCTCCCCACAAAGAGCACTTCAAAAACTGTTGAAGAGCGTGGCAAGTGGGGCAGCAAAAAGGAGTTCATCCTGTCTGTGGCCGGTGCTATTATTGGACTAGGCAATGTGTGGAGATTTCCATATCTTTGCTACAAGAATGGTGGAGGTAAGTATTTCTATTCATTATTCTTAATTAATAAAAGTGTAGTATTATGGTTGATCACAGTGGGGGGGTTTTTCTTAAGGAATTGAGAAGATATGTTTTTATTATTCACCAAAGCACAATTATGGGCTTTAATTAGATATTTATTTTCACTGCCAAATACGTTCATTCAAAGTTTTGTTAAAAGCTGCAAATGATTAAAACTGTCCAATGTGAAGTGTATCTGCTATCCATCTGTGTCTCTGTCTGCCTGTTGATTAAGGATTTGACAGGTTACAAAAGGCTATAAAAATAACACTCAGTCTGTGTCCATGCCAAAAATCACAATCAGATTCTTTGCTGAAGCCCTTTAAGTTCAGCATTGCTCCACTTGAATGAAAAATATCCAGCTGTGATGGTGCTAAACTGGAAACAAACTGGACATCGTAAACATTTCACGTGGCAGATTTTGATGATAACGTTCCAAAAATGAACGAATGAAATCCAACGAACAAAAGACAGATGAAATATTATTGACTTACCTCTTAGGGATGGAAATGTTCATTTGAAAGTTGGTGATTTGCCCCTTCTTTGACCTTAAATGAGGACAGATATGTCAGAGGCATTTCAAACAAATAAACTTCAGGCCTAACGACTATTTTCAGCCATAGCAAAATGATGATATTATTTAAATGTTCTAGCTTTTATCCTTGAGAAATTGACAATCTGCTCATAGACATTATCAGCCGTTGTTCCAATTTGATTAAGTGTCCCCATAACAAGTGATAAATTCAGGGTTCTTATTTCCCATCCTTTTTTTTTCTTACTGAGAAAAGCCCTATGTCACAGAAGAATCACACATAGTCGTTCAAGGTAACACTTATTTGACAATGGAAGAAAGTGAACTGCACCAGAAAGAATCATCCTGCATCCTGCTTGGCAACAGCAATAAAAAATACTTGTGGCTTTATTAGCTTACCTCATAAAAAATAGCTGAACAATTGAATTATGTAAATATGAGTGTATCTAAACTATCAGCTAACAGAGATATCTCAAAGGTGTCTGTCTTTTTCTAAATCATCCTATTTTAGACCACACACTATTACATACTATAACAGCATCATCCTGAAACCTGACCTGGTTTCTACTGTTGTACTTATAAACATCTCTCTGCAGTTATAAAAAATCTGAATCTCAGAAATAATAATGTAAAGACTGATGCTGCAGCAGATTCTGTAACCGTGTATAATTTTTTACATTCTGCTGGCTTCAGTCGTTTGTCAGTGTTCCTAATCCACATGAATAGTTCCTTTATCTTGATGTGTCATGGACAGGACACTGTAAGTGGCTGGGTATAGCTTTTGATAGTTAAGTTAAGCACCCCTACTGATTTAGTCATATTGTTTACTGTAACATTGTTCAATGTAAGAAGATTGGAAATTTAAATACTTTGCATAAAATCAACACAAAATGACGGCAGATTGTGCAGAAAAAAACTTGTAATTTATAGTCATCTCATTAAAAGTGCATTGCAAAAAGATATCTCAAGATAGATCCTCTAGGTGTTTTAATGAACTAGATGCAAATTTCTTTTTTAAAAAAAGATTGTTTTTGGGGCCTTTTGGACTTTACTAAATAAAACAATTAAGCTAGATAGCAAAATGAGGAGAGAGAAAGGGAAGACATGAAGCAAAGGGCAGCAGGTCCGGCTTAAAGCTGGGCCGCTGCACCACCGTATTTTACACCTTAGGCTTTGAACCTTTCCTAAAGTACATAGACTATAAAATATATTTATATTCAGACAAATTGCCTTCAACTGTGTCCTCTGTGTGAAAATTCAGTCAGAGATAGTTACAGTAATATTCACTTGTGTGTAACTGTGTGGTGTGGAATTGCCACAGGTTTTGGGGATGATCACACAGAAATTAACGATATTAAAGAAGTGGTTTGATATAAATAAATTATCATTGAATCTAGATAAAACCAAATTTATGTTGTTTGGAAACCAAAAGAAAAACATCCATCCATCCATCCATCTTCATCCGCTTTATCCGGGGCCGGGTCGCGGGGGCAGCAGCCTAAGCAAAGAGGCCCAGACCTCCCTCTCCCCAGCCACCTCCTCCAGCTTATCCGGGGGAATACCAAGGCGTTCCCAGGCCAGCCGAGAGATATAATCTCTCCAGCGTGTCCTGGGTCTGCCCCGGGGCCTCCTCCCGGTGGGACATGCCTGGAACACCTCACCCAGGAGGCGCCCAGGGGGCATCCTTGTCAGATGCCCGAACCACCTCAGCTGGCTCCTTTCGATGTGGAGCAGCAGCTGCTCTACTCTGAGCCCCTCCCGGATGGCCGAACTTCTCACCCTATCTCTAAGGGAGAGGCCAGCCACCCTTCGGAGGAAGCTCATTTCTGCCGCTTGTATCCGCGATCTCGTTCTTTCGGTCACTACCCACAGCTCGTGGCCATAGGTGAGGGTAGGGACGTAGATCGACCGGTAAATTGAGAGCTTCGCTTTTACACTCAGCTCCCTCTTCACCACGACGGACCGGTGCAGCGTCCGCATTACTGCAGCTGCAGCCCCAATCCGTCTGTCGATCTCCGGCTCCCTTCTCCCATCACTCGCGAACAAGACCCCGAGATACTTGAACTCCTCCACTTGGGGCAGGAACTCATCCCCGACCCGGAGTGGGCACTCCACCCTTTTCCGGCTGAGAACCATGGCCTCAGATTTGGAGGTGCTGATCCTCATTCCCGCTGCTTCACACTCGGCTGCGAACCGTTCCAGTGCGAGCTGGAGGCCCTCACCCGATGAAGCCAACAGAACCACATCATCTGCAAAAATCAGAGATGAGATTCTGAGGCCACCAAAGCGAAAGCCCTCCGCCACTTGGCTGCGCCTAGAAATCCTGTCCATAAAAATTATGAACAGAACCGGAGACAAAGGGCAGCCCTGGCGGAGCCCATCACCCACCGGGAACGAGTCCGACTTATTGCCGGCAATGCGAACCAAGCTCTTGCAACGGTTGTATAGGGATCGAATGGCCCGTAGCAATGGGCCAGACACCCCATACTCCCGCAACACCTCCCACAGGACACCCCGAGGGACACGGTCGAATGCCTTCTCCAAGTCCACAAAACACATGTAGACTGGTTGGGCAAACTCCCATGCACCCTCAAGTATCCTTGAGAGGATAAAGAGCTGGTCCAGTCAAACAAATAATGGAATGATATTTTGTAATGATTGTGAAGGCACATGTTTGAAATGTTTGAAATAAAAATGAACTGAACTGAACTGAACTAACTGTGTGTAACTGTGTGTCACTGCGGATACAAGTGAGACATCCATTCTAGCCAATCAGAAAAGTCTACTTCCATTAACAAAAAACAAACCATTTGTGGTGTACCCCAAGGTTCCCTCATGAGCCCAGTTCTTTTCAGTCCACTCATAATACCTTTATAGTCTACTAACTACAGATATGACGTGTTTCTGTAGCTGCATTTTTCTCTCATGATTCAAAAGTATATCCTAGCATTGCCCAAGTAAGTACTTATTGTCTTGAAAGATGAACATGAATATTTTTGCAATATAGTATACCAGTCATGTGCTAATGTAGTTTGTTGTCACCTGCAGGCGCATTCTTCATCCCTTACGTCCTATTCCTTCTCACTTGTGGCATACCTCTATTTGTGCTGGAGACGGCACTGGGCCAGTACACTAGTCAGGGGGGGATCATGTGCTGGAGGAAGGTCTGCCCCTTGTTTGAAGGTGAGCTAACCACTGGAATTGTGGTGAAGCAGATCAATGAAGAAGAAGTAAGAGAATGCAATGCTAACAGTTGTTGTTTCCAGGCATGGGATATGCAAGCCAGATGATCATTTTCTACGGAGGCATCAGCTATATTGTGATTTTAGCCTGGGCTTTTCTCTACTTATTCTCTTCCTTCTCTGGAGAGTTGCCATGGGCCACCTGTAATAACACATGGAATACAAGTAAATACATATGTTGCTATTATACTTTTATCTGCCTTTGCATACACCAAAAAATCAGTGGCCTTAAAAATAGTATGGATAATGTTAATGTCACTTCATTGTGTTTCTAAATGTGACATCTCGCTTAAGCAATTTAACTGACATAAATAAAATTCAAGCCTTTGAAGATTTGTCATCTTTAACTGTGTTTTAATCTATTTCAGATCGTTGTGTGGTAATAAACAACTACAATGCCACCCTCAACTGGACTTTACCTGTAAATTCATCATCTTCTGTTGTAGAATTTTGGCAGTGAGTTATCATGAGTTTTTTTTTAATAAAACTTCATTTGAAAGCTCAGCTATAGGTATACTATACTAAAGATAAAAGCTCTGCATGTTGATGCCACAGCCACATCAGCTCTTTGTTTTTCCACACTGCTTTCGTGTGTTTCTTTGCATGTGCTATGATAAATTTGCCAGTTTTATCATGTAGTTTGTAAGGGTGCAACGATACTCGTATCGATATTGAACCGTTCGATACAGTGCTTTCGGTTCGGTATGCATATGTATCGAACAATACAACATTTTTAATTTATTTTATCAACTTTCTTCTGACGATGCTGTCTGTGTTGAGCGCTCAGTGGATCTGCGTCTCGACTACGTCGCGCCTAGGCGCGAGTAGTCGACGCAGATCCACTGAGCGCAGGGCAAGCTAGCAAGACAGAAGCTAAGCTCCTTGCAACATGGCAAATTGAACCTCCCCCACCCTCATTCAGATCTGGCCTTTGGAACTATTTTGGTCTTTCATGTGACGTATGACCCTGAAGGTAAGCGCGTCATGGACAAAAGTAAAACAGTATGTTTGATGTGCCACGCAATGCGTCAATTACATTGGTGGGAACTAGTGTGTTAGCGCAGTTAGCTCGTTAACGTGTTGACCGTCCAGCCCCACGCACGGAGGCGATCCATGGTAGCTCGTTAACGGAGATTTGCTGTGTTGTGGCGTTAACGTCATTTACGAGATTAACGCTGACAGCACTAGTGGGAACACAACGAATATGACTGCACATTTACCCGACATCATCCTAGTGCAAAGACAAGTGGAAGCAGACAAAAACAACAAGCACGCATGCTACAAACTTTACCCGAGTCATTTAGACAGCCGTTAGCACATGATTCTCCTTATGGGAGACCTGATATGTTTAATATGCTGCTGAGAATATAGCCCAGAAGAAGCGTATAGTATAGCTTTTATTTTGGAAAGAGCCATTTCTCTGTAATAAACTCTCTTTTCCAAAGATGAGTGATTTCTCTATCAGATTATTTTTTTATTACTTTGTTGTTTCAGCAACATTAAATTTAAAAACTGTAGTTTTGAGTAAAAATATATATTTATAATTTTAATAAATGACAAATTAAAAAAGAATGAACATTTTTTTTGTATCGAAAAAATATAGAACCGTGACACCAAAGTATCGAACTGAACCGAACCGAGAATTTTGTGTATCGTTGCACCCCTAGTAGTTTGGTGAGTCCCCTTAGCGCCACACAGATGTCTGATTGCTCCTAACTGAAAACACCTTCAAACACAACGTGAAAACAAAGAAATTACCTAATCTGCACTATTATGAAGTTTTATTCAGATCTTCTGCCTTATCTGAGAGACTCATATTTCCTGAGCAAGACAGTTCACGTGTAACAGCATATGCTGTAGCATCTGTCAGCATAGCTCCCCCTCAGCACTGAGATGGGATCAATCAACCAGAATAATTGAAAACACCTGTGTACTAAAGGTGTGAAGTGATTTTAATTGCACATTCAAGCATGTATCATTCTGAATAGTTTAATGAGCTTCAACTTCATCAGGTCTTTCATGTTGGCCCCAGTGACTTGTCAATCAAATATGTAACTAATAATATTTTTTTAAACACATTCCTTTCTGATATAAATGTTCCTGGGTATTGGATTTTCAACATGCAAACTCACGCAATGCTCACATGTTGCCCATTTTTGTAGCCCTCTCCAAACTCACACATATGTGTAGGTAATGACAGTAATGGTAAAAAAAAAATTAAAATCTTAACTAGTAACTACAGTCCAAAGATGAAGTTTTACACAACAACACATACTGCTTTAAAAGGCCATTCATCTAACTAACACTGCGTCATCTTTCAGGCGTCGGGTGTTGAACATATCCACTGGCATAGAGGCCTTGGGAAACATTCAGTGGGAACTTTCTCTGTGCCTTCTTCTAGCCTGGGTCATCTGCTACTTTTGTGTCTGGAAGGGAGTTAAATCCACAGGAAAGGTAACACTAAAATGACAAATGTGTGTCCGAGATTTGTAGTAGATACACCACTATTATCAATTTGAAGCTCCTACTTAGCTTTATTATTGAGTTATTGCATTCAGAAACTTGGGTGACCACAATGCCCGCCCACCTGCCTACTAGCCCACCCCCACCTACCAGCCTACACGGCAGGGAGATGAAAAACCCCCATCAGCCTTTTACAGCTGAGTACTAAAAACCCTTTTAGGAGACTTTTGTTCCACTTAGCACACACCGCATGCTTAACAAAGAAGATAATGTTTGGCACTTAAATTCAATGACAGACATGGTACAGGATGTCTAGTTCACAAAACGTTATAATCAGTGGTTACTTGATGATGAAGGGGTCATAAATAATCTGAAACACTTTCCTTCCTGTTCTAAAATCACCCACAACAACTTTTCCTCACTGAGAATGGCTGAGTGACTAAGGTGTGGCATGGAAAATAACAGACCAGAACTCCCAGACAGCCACAGTTTTTTTTTTTTGGGCTGCTGCCAAGCCAATAGTTCAGTGTTACGTGTGCTTAGCTTTCAAAGCAGACCACAACACATAACAGTGTTGTCATGCAGTTGTGGTTGTGTCAGACCTGCAGCCACATGCAATCAGATTGTTGGACTCAGTATTAAAGAAATTACTGGTGATTAGTTAACATAGGAAGCAGCCGCACTGAAGCCACCCAAGGCACAATTCTAGTTTGGTTAAATTTAGATGTTAAGATATCAACAAATTTCCCACGTATGTGACTAATAAAGGATTATCTCTTATCTGAGATACTTTAAAAAAATGTTTGGTTAAACTACTTTGTAAAGAAAAAAGCAGGCCCCTTTTTCACATAAACTACAAAAACAAAAAATAACTCCCGTATACATGGGAAAAAAAACACGTTGTGATGTAACATATTCAGTCTATATAACCCAAAGGTTTGTTTTGCCACGAGCAAGCTAATGTCAAATACGGTTGCGAGTTTAATTTCATATAGAAAGCAACAGTTTGATGAAACGTTATGAAACACGTGAAGACTCTCGTGTGCCTCGTTCAGTGGATAGGCATGACTCATGTGAGGCTTGTGATTTGTGAGAAAGTGAATTGGAAGTGCTGACTGGGAAATCTCTCTGTGGGAGAGACGTGTGCAATAGATCCCAGCTGTCTCTGCCATATAATTACCTGCTGTAGCGTGTAGCAACTTCTTTTCTTCCTAAATCACTGGAGTTAATTGAATTAATCCACTGGTGCCTTTTTTCCTGAAGTGATACAGTTAGAAAATTCAAGATTGTAAAAACAATAAATAACGATAGTCTTATTAAGTCACATTGATGGATTGGTGAAAATTTTTTTAAAAAGGTTTGCACAGCCAATATCACAGCATTGTCACAACATATCCCCTTGCAAATGTTACCATGCCCTCTATTGTTAGTTATGGTGTACTTTTTGTATTGCCCGTTTTATTTTTTTACAGGCTACATATTTCACAGCCACATTCCCCTTCATCACATTAGCTGTGCTGTTTGTCAGAGGAATAACCCTTCCCGGAGCTTTCCATGGGATCAAATACTACTTGTATCCCAATCCAGCACGGCTTGCTGACCCACAGGTATTATTTAGTCTATTTTCTTTTGATTTTTGTGCCACGATAACAGCATTTAGTAGCAGCATTTTTGGAAAAATAATCTTCTGTTGGTTTACAGGTCTGGATGGATGCTGGAACACAAATATTTTATTCTTATGCCATATGTTTGGGATGCCTGACTACACTTGGAAGCTACAACAAGTACAACAATAACTGTTATAGGTGACTACCTGATGAAGATCTAATTTGATGGTTTAAATCACAATTTGCAATTATGTCCTACTATAGCTGCTAATTCCTAATGCTAAAGAATTATCAGTTAATAAGACTGGTGTAAAAGATTCAAAATCTTAATTAAATTTTTTCATTACAAGTGTCGAACCCTTACTATGAGTCAATGTAACTTTAACCTGCACCCAAACAAAGGAATTTAATAGCACTGACCAACACTGTTGTGATAATGCAGGAACAACACAAAATGTGAGATACAGCATGAAGAAGAATTAAATTCACATCAGCACAACTTTCATAAATATGACACACACCCCAAACACACACACACAAAAACCCCAAACATAAGTGTGCATCAGGATAGGCAAAGAACAGAAGACACACACACACACACACACACACAGAGAGAGAGACATTTTTGGAGGTTTTAGTAATTTCTTGTTATCACAGTGTCAGTCCTTGTTGTACGTTACCGATTCACAAATAAAGACAGCAAGCTTTGTTTCTGATTTGCAGAGACTCCTTCTATCTTTGCTTGTTGAACAGTGGGACCAGCTTCGTATCGGGCTTTGCGATCTTCTCAGTTTTGGGCTACATGTCACAAAAACAGGGTGTGGACATTGCTACAGTTGCTGAATCAGGTGAGGCTGCACACCTGCTTGGTTAGATTTCAGACTGGCATGTGTTTTTTTTCTCTCTAAAGTTACGGATTGTTAATTGAAAAATAATCTTTTTCCTCATGACAATTATTAAGCCTGGAACCTTCTAAATGTTAAAATGCATTAAACATTTCTCCGTAAACCGAAGACACTGTGGCACTCTGACATGATTTACTTGTTCTTGGTTTCACTCTGTAGGTCCAGGACTTGTCTTCATAGTTTACCCACAAGCTGTGACCCTGCTGCCATGGCCTCAGGTCTGGTCTGTGTGCTTTTTCACCATGATCATCTTACTGGGAATAGATGGCCAGGTCAGCTTCAGTCTTTCCTATGTCTTGTAAAAAATCTCTTGCTTAACTTATCTTGACACTAACCTGTCTTTGTGTTACTCTCCAGTTTGCAGGTCTCGAGAGCATCATGACCTCGTTAACAGATGTGTACCCAGCCCAGATACGAAAAGGATACCGCAGAGAGCTTTATCTGATGCTGATCTGTGCGCTCTGCTATATGTTTGGTCTGTTATTAGTGTCAGAGGTGAGCTGTCAGAAGCACATTTATTGTTGGTCAAATGTAATCAGTTTAGTGTGTAAAATGTTTTTCCAGCATTGTCAAATGACACAAAATACACAGTAGGTACACTCCTAAAATGTGTTTTTGTTTCCATTAAATCAACAGGATTTTGAGTTGTTTGCAGTAATACTTTTTTTTTTAATAAATCAAATCCACTGTATTCGCTGCTTTCATTTTAGGCTGGCGCATACATTCTGCAGATCTTTGATCACTATGTATGCAGTGGGCCCACTCTTCTTCTGATGGCAATTTTCCAGTCAGTGATTATTGGATGGATCTATGGTATGTTATAAATGTCAGTGGTACAATTGTTTATATATATATATGGAAACCAAAGAGAAACGGAGGTTCACACCCTTCAATGTGCAGACATGGAAAGACATGTAAGTGGAGGAGGCAGCAACAGCAAGCTCCTTGTGCAGGAAAGAGTACGCGTTGTTGCGCTTATAGTTGCTGAAAATTGGAAATTAGCAGCAACTGTGAGCATGCTAACCCAGGTAAAAATAGCCCTAGCTTCTTTTTTGTTTACAATAATTAAATAAATACTTCTGTCCTAGGTGCTCAACGCTTCTGTGACAACATTGAGGACATGATTGGTTACAAACCTCTGTCACTAATCAAGTACTGCTGGCTGTATGCCACTCCTCTTATTTGCAGTGTAAGCATCTGAAGCAGTCTGACTAAATAGTTTATCGATATTGTATAATTTCCATCTTTCACTGATTATTATTGACGATGATTTCCTTTAAAGGGAACCCTTGTGTTTTTGCTGATAAGTTACACACCACTGAAATTCAACAACACCTACGTGTATCCTTGGTGGGCTTACTGGATTGGCTGGTTCCTCGCCATGTCGTCTCTTTCTATGATCCCAGTCACTATGATCTACAAACTGGCCAAAGGTAGAGGGAGTCTCTGGCAGGTCAGTGATGTTACTAGTGGCAGCTTTGTATTTGAATAACTAACTGTGATGTTCATCGGCGTAACTTTGTTCTGAACATTGGAGGGGTCAAGATCTCTCTCTAAATAAATAAATAAATAAATCTGGGTAAATTCCCAGATGATTAAACATGCAACTATTTTGCTGGTAATACCTGAAATGAGTAAAGAAAATCAACAGCCTATCTATGAAAGGTCATTCATAATTGTATTGGAGAGGTTATATTGGTCGGGTCTGATTATTGGAGGGTAATAACCCCCCTAACCCCCCTGGAAATTATGCCCCTGGTGATATTCATTGACAATCTTAATGCCTTTTTCCAGCGTCTTAAGACCAGCTCCCGCCCAGCAGATGATCTTCCAGTGATGGCAGAGGTGACAGCAAAAGAAAGGGCGAGCTTCACTGCATGTCCACGATAATGGAGCAAATGACCATATTTTTAAAAAATCCAAACTTTAAGAGCAACTTTAATTTTTTTTATTTCAAAAATATGTAGAGTAGCTTGTTTACTGCATGGTTTTATATGGTGGGTCATTTTTAGTACAGCAAATTGTTTTAACACAAAAAGACCAGCTTGACAGATCAGAGATCTAAAATAAGCTTCTTTTTTTTTTTTATTAAATTGTGTTGAAATTCACTGAAATTCACTGCCATCATTGCTATATTCAACTCTAAGCTAAAAGGACAAAGTGGTACAGAACGACAAAGTTCCTCTGGCATTAATATCAGCACAAAAGCTGTGTCCTAGGAGCTACATGGCATGGCTTTTCTGTAAGTGTAATATGTAGGTGGTGCAGTACTTTTATCCATAAAGATTATCATCATATTATCAGCATTCCAAATTCTCATTTGTGTTTTTCACTGGGAGGAAAAAATAGCATTTTTTACTACATATAAATTTAAATGAATATACAGTACCTCTTTTACAGTTGTCATAGGTGTAATGATGCTTCCTGCTTGAATTTATACAATAATTCTACAATATCTTATAAGCTAGTTTTACTTTGTTATTTTTTAGGGGTAAGTATTTTCTTGGATTAAAGTAGTATTAAGAGCTTTTTTATTTTACTTCTATATTTACGCATGGATTTACATTTCTATTAAGAACTCTAGAACAGCTATAAACATAATGGGTTTGGGTCACTGACTATGTGCACCATGACAGCATGACAGGTAAATTTCTGTGGCTAACATTTATTCAGGGTCTAATTCATGTATTTTTATTAAATATAATACACCAAATATGTATATCCTCCACAAAGGTATTAGGACTTGCTTGAATCTGTAACACAATTTTTTTAACGCTTTAATTCAGAGTTTTCCTTTTTTCTAAAGTATTTTTGTACTGATTAAGGGTTTTTATTCAACATGTGACTTTAAATTTGTATAATAAAATAATTTTGGGGGTAATTTTGCTTCTTTGCTTTTATTTTGCATGGAAAAAAAATTACTACAAAAAACGACCACCTGCCATTCTTGTTAAACCCATTCACAGCGTATATAGCCTGTACAGTGACTTTGTATCTGTCACAGTCTGGCTGAGGCAGACTGTATATGTTGTGAAAAAGGACTTGAATGCAGACCGAAACACAATGTGAAATGTGATGTGGATTAACAGAAAACGAGCAGTTTATTATCGCTGGCAAAATAAATACAAACGAAGGGCATGGGTGAACTAAATAATAACCTGAACTGGGTGAACTAAAATGAAACATGAAAAACCCTTAAACATGGAGAACTGGCGTGGCTACCCGGTGACACGATGTGGACTAGCAGTCGACCTGACAAGGAATGACTGAAAACACACGGACTAAATACACACAAGAGGCTAATGAGGGAAGTGGGAACACATGGGGAAAACAGCTGACACACATGAACACAACGAAGTCACAGGGGAAGTGTAAAACTAAACACACTGAACATAGAAACACAAGACCTCGTCAAAATAAAACAGGAAACATAATGGGACGCAGACATGACAATAAATAGTGAGGGGAACATAAATACAGGGGTAGAAAAAACAAAGGGAATCTAAATAAACAAATGAACTTAAGCAAACCATAAACATCAAAATAAACTAAAATTCAAAACGCTGGGTTAAAAGACCCAGGATCGTGACAGTGTCACTTAGAATAGAATAGAATAGAATAGCCTTTATTGTCATTGTACTGAGTACAACGAAATTGGAGTGCCACTCCCTTGGTGCAAGTTTCAATAATAAATATAAATGTAAAATATAAAAAGTACAAAAAAACAATCGTAAGTACTCAAACAATAGTATGTACAATATATACAGGATAGCAGCATTTATATAATAACAGTATGAATAGCAGCATAATACAATGACAGTGACGGTATGGAATAGGTTCAATTGTTTTTGTGCTTATTTACTACGGTGATAGCTCTGGGAAAGAAGCTATCCCTGAATCTGTTTGTCCTGGTTTTATGTGACCTGTACTGTCGGCCTGACGGTAATAGTTCAAACAGTTGGTTGCTGGGGTGAGAGTAGTCCTTGATGATATTGCCAGCTCTGCTGAAGTACCTTGTATACTTTGCTGTGTTACAGCTACAATTATAGTCACTTAAAGCCAGTTTTCAGAACACAGAGCATGTTATGAAGTCCAAAAAAACTTGCAGAGCATTTAATATTGCCCTGGAAGAAGCCAGGAGCCGTGGGGATTTTTTAGGCTTGACTGTCTGACAGAACTATAACAGACCCAACAAAAAACCTTTGGTAAGGCAGTAGAACGACAAACATGTTGAATTCATGGACTGAAAATATTTTTAGTAAAATATGAAAAATTATTCGTTTTCTATTTTTTTCATTAAATCTCTAATACATTAAAGTGTGCAACCAGTGGACTATATGATACTTTCCAGTGTAACCTTACCTGAATTTTGCAAAAATGTTTTTTTTTTTTATTAAACTGTCTACAACGTGCAGCCCCTCAGTTTATCCACTGTCTGAAACAAGTTTGTTTTGGTTTTTTACAGTAGCTTCTCTCACGTTAAGGTCAACCTTCCCTTAAACTGCCTTACTGACTGCCGCGCACACACAAATACTTTTAAACAGCCGTTGAGCAAGACTTCTGTACTGACAGAGCTGCTGTATGTAGCTAAGTTAATCATTTTAAAGAGGTGCTGAATCCATGCAACAAATGTGGTTTCAAAGGATGAAATGGCTGCTGAAATGAGGTCTCACTTCTCGCTTGTGAAGTGATCTCGGCTGACTGTAACAGATTAGTTTGTAAATCCATCAGATAACCTTTGTGAAAGTTAAAAGCTATCCCTCTGAATTCTGTGGGAAAAAAGAAAAAAAGTAGAATCCATTATAGTGCACTATTGGACTGATTGTATTTCCAGATACAATATCAAAATGGGGCAGCATGGCTGTGTGCTGTTTATTTTTGATCCTTTATTATATTTATTTATTTTTTAAGTCTTTCAGCTGCTCCCTTGGCACAAGTAGCCCTGCATATTTGTCTTACACCAGATGACCATCCCAGCCACGCAACACAAATTTGATTTATGTCTCCTGCTGGAATTGAACCAGCAACTTTTGTTTGCTTGGTAAATATGTAAACAGCTACACAGCTACTGTTTCACTTCAAGTTTTACTGAAAGATGACCTAATTTCCTTTGAATTGTTTCACTGTAGATTTTGATTGGCTGTATTAGATGGAAATACTTGAGGAAATTAAAAAAGCAAGAATTATAATATTGCTTTATAATAATTATAATATAATGGGGCTTCATCTGAAGATTATCTGTACAAGATGGGAAAATTGTGAAATGTTTTGCAAAACAGGTTAGATAAAGGTATTAGGCCACACCTCCTGATCTTTCAGTTCAGGTGTTGGCCCATTCTGTTGTTGCAGGTCTATGGAAATCAAGCACCTATCCATGCAATCTGCCTTTATTCATTTTTGTAAAAGAATAGGTCTCTAAAGAGCAAGGTTGCAACAAGTCAGCCATGAACAACTGAAGTGGTGTTATTGCAAAGTTTAACAGTTTATGAACCAGAGCAAATAACCCATGAAGTGACAGACCATGTATGGGCATGTGCTGAGACGCACAGTGCCTAAAAGGATGTAAATATGTAAAAATTGTGTATGTTTCTGTTTTGTGTCTTGTGTACTGTTTGTTTTAATATGTGTCTTTCTTGCAGCTGTTACATCCAAATTTTCCCTTGTGGGACATTTAAAGGATTATTCTATTCTTCTATTCTATTACCTTGGCCTCCAGTAACACTGTGAGGAACCCTGGAGTCATTTTTGACCAGGATATGTTCTTCAATGCACATATTAAACAAATATGTAGGACTGCTTTTTCCATTTAAGTAACTTCTCTAAAATTAGAAATATCCAGTCTCAGAGTGATGCTGAAAAACTAGTTCATCCATTCATTACTTCCAGGCTGGACTAGTGTAATTCATTATTATCAGGATGTCCTAAAAACTCCCTGAAAAGCCTTCAGTTAATCCAAAATTCTGCAGCAAGAGTGCAAGAAAGAGAGAGATTTCTCCTGTATTGACTTCCTTTCATTGGCTCCCTGTTAAATCCAGAATTGAATTCAAAATCCTGCTCCTCAAGTCTTAAATAATCAGGCCCCATCTTATCTTAATGGCCTTATACTACCATATCGCCCCATTCACTCTCGCACTGCAGGCCTACTTGTTGTTCCTAGAGTATTTAAAAGTAGAATGGGAGGGAGAGCCTTCAGTTTTCAGGCCCCTCTTCTGTG